CCTAAACCCTAAAACCTTCAACCCCAAACCGCCCAAAGCCCTATAAACCCTATAAAGCATCGGGGTCCCAGCGCCTTGGCCGCCCGGTGAAGGTCGGACAACCTCGCGGAAGAGGGCGACGAGCAAGGCTCGGTGGTCCTCGTCGGAGGGCATTCCTGGGAATTAGGCTCAGGGCTTATAGGGTTGGGGGCTTAAGGCTTATAGGGTTTATGGATTAGGGCTTATTTAGGGTTTAGGGCTTAGGGCTTATAGGGTTTATGGATTAGGGCTTATAGGGTTTAGGGCTTAAGGCTTATAGGGCTTAGGGCTTCTAGGGTTTAGGGTTTAGGGCTTGGGGTGGAGGGTTTAAAGGTTCAGGGCTTTGAGAATGTATGCCTGGGTTCTGGTTGAGGACAGCAGTCTCACTATCAAAGCCGTTTGTTCGTACATGATTATACTCACCTACATACATCGAGATAATTCGGGAATGTACATACGTGCATGCATGCATGTAGGTATATATGTACGACTGTCGACTGTATGTAGAGATTGTGTGTAGAGATGTATGCATGTATGTATGTGGGTAAGTAGGTATGTATGTGTTGACTGATGCATGCCTGTAAATACCATATAGGTATATATATATATATGCATACTTACATTCGATGGATGGATCGCTCGATATATTGATAGATAGATAGACAAATAAATAGATAGATAGGTAGACAACTGGATATATAGACATGTTTATACGCGGATCTTATATCCAGGTTCATTTGCTGCTTCAATAATGACCTGTGGATTTACGTACTTGTGTACCTTTAGGATTGACATGTTCTCTGAATGATGGTAACTTGAACCACGCCCAAATAAAACCCTGCAAAGACCACATGACGACCGTGAAAACAACAATCAAAAACCAACCCACGCAAACGAAGAGCCCCAAAAAGCCACCCGATTTCCCATCCTCCGCTACCCTAAACCCGAACAACAAACACACAACAAAAACAAACTGTAGAGCCCAGGTTCTGAATGCGAGGGGTGCCTGTAGTGTGATCAGCATAGGCAGCTCTGTCACCATGCGAAGGAGTAGGCAGAGAGTTGGCGAGTTGCCTCGCGGGTTAAGAATGTATTTAGGGTTTAGGGTTTAAAGTTCTTGCGGACGTTCGATAAGGTATAAGCTTAGGATTGCGTTTTTGTTTACGGGTTC